GGAGGGGAGGGAGGGGAGGGGTACAGAGAGAGAGTGAGCTGGAGCAGAGACCAGACAGGGAACACTCCAGCTGAATCCTGAACAATCAGGGCAGAGCGGGGGAGGAGGGAAAGGCTGGGTGACGGGGTTGAGTGAGGAAGGCGGGAGGTTGAGGGAGGCAAGACTTGAGTCAGGAGGTAACCGTCAGGGAGCGCCTGGCTGGCTCAGTTGGTTGAATAGCTTGATTTCGGCTCAGGTCCTGATCTCAGGGCTGTGAGCTCGAGCCCCAAGACAGGCCCCGTGCGCAGCGAGGAGTTGGCTTGAGATTCTCTACTTCCCTCTCTCTCTAAAATAAATAAATCAGTCTTTAAAAAAGAAGGTAACGGTCAATTTTGGCTCTTTGGTGGAGATGAAGGGTGCGTTATGGGAGCCCATCCCTCCCACGGTGCTCTCCTGTAAGGGGTCTGTTGATGGATGCTCCTCGGGGACGGCGGGGCGCCTGTGGGCAGGGCGCATCCCCGCCGGGGGCGGCTCCAGGAGACAGGGCGCACAGGCCTCGGCCGGCTCCCGCCATCCCAGCGTGGGCAGAGGGGCCTGTGGGGGGGACGGCGTGGGACGGAAGGGGGCAAGCCGCCGTGGGCGTGACTTCCACGGGGTCACCGCGGAGCAAATCCATGACTCAGAGTTCTGCCTTCAAATGTGACAAGTCCCGGGCGCCTGGGTGGCTCAGTCGGTTAAGCGACTGCCTTCGGCTCGGATCATGATCCCAGGGTCCTGGGATCGAGTCCCGCATCGGGCTCCCTGCTCTGCGGGGAGCCTGCTTCTCCCTCTCCCACTCCCCCTGCTTGTGTTCCCTCTCTCGCTGTGTCTCTCTCTGTCAAATAAATGAATAAAAAATCTTTAATAAAAAAAAATAAAATGTGACAAGTCCCGAGTCACAGCTGAGGGCAGCTAGATGCCTGGGTCCCCTCGACCAGCTCCTACTCCCCGGAGGGGCGGCATGGGCAGGGTCCCCCGCCACCTGCCGCCCGGTTCGTGGTGAGCAGGAGCAGGAGTGGGCGGAGGAAGGTGTGGCCAGGCCGGTGAACCTGCCAACTCATCTGCAGGTTTGTCCTCCACACCCGTCCTCCCGCCTCTCTAGCATCAATGGTGGGGCCAAATCTCGGAGGAAGCCTGGGCGGCTTACGCAGCATTCTGTCTCTGCAACAGCCTCCACGGAACAACTGGTTTGAAAGCAAGGTGTTTCAGGGAGAAGCTCATCTTCTAAACCTGACCAGAAGCAGACGTCTGCTGAGCCTCCTTGCAGAGCGACTCAGAACGTGGCCCTACGTTCCCTTTGCAGTTCAAAGAGCATCTCTCCTGAGGCCATGGGGGGAGCTCAGTGTCCCCAGCAGACGTCCTACAGCTTTCGTCTATTTGTCCCACACTCAGGAAGGGTCTGCAGAGCGAGTGCAGGTGATCTGTCCTGACACGGGGCTCCTACTAAGTGGTCTTGGGGGCCCCACGCGCCCCCAGATGCCTGCAGCCGGCCCTAAGGGTGCGGCCAGGTCCAGTTCTGGAGACTGAATGTCGACAGCTTTCTCTGACTGTCACCGTCGTCATGACGCTCTTTAGGGAAAGATGCCGGACTTTGACCGACCGGCTTCTGTGGCCGGAACCCCTCCAACGCACCGGGTCTGGGCCAACAACGTCAAGTTGCTCAGACAATTACATACCCTGCCTAATGGTTGATAATTACACTGTTTCTGGGACTGCCAGGAGAAAACAATGATTAAGACTATTTACAGCCGCACACACACATCCTTCCCTCCCCTCTGGCGGCCTCGCTGGGCCCAGGTATCCATGGCAACTGCATGGGGAGCCCTACCTGGAGTGTGGGCTCGGCTGTAATCACCGGGAGGGGCGCTGGCGGGAGGCAGGGGAGGGGGAGGGCGGCTCGCACCGTGAAACCCCGGCAAGAATGACTCAGCTAGAAAAGTCACACTTGCTAGAAGAATGCCACTAAGTTCTTCCCTGGGGCCGACCCCCAGGGAGGCCACGGACTTGAACCTGGGTGGGAACACTGACAATGAACACACAGCCCCTGAACACGGAGAGGTACGGATTTACGCACCAGGGTTTTGGGAAGAGAGAAGATGAAGGGCCTGCGCTGTGTTTTTAATAATGGGAGGGGGTACGGCCCTCCTCATCCTCGCGTTCTCCCGCTTTGAACCTACCTCACTCCAGAACAGCCCTGGCCGAGGTGCTTTACCGGCCAGGAGCAAATCCCCTGCCAAAGACCCCCGCCAAGGAGCAGGCGTGGGGCCGGGCGTCCTGCCTCCTGCGGCTCAGTCAGAGAACAGGCCGGGAGACTCGGGGGGAGCCGGCTCCCCGTGGGGCTCACCCACCCCCCGCCCTGAGAGCTGGTCCTGAGGCACAGAGCCTGGCCCGGCCCCGGGGGGTGGGGGGGTGCCGAGACCGGAAGGCTTTGGCCTTCAGGCAGCATTTCACTACTTTCTGGAAGGATCATTGCCTGGTTCCTGGTGGCACCTGGAGTCCGGCCAGAAAGACGCCTTTGTTCTAAGGCCTTCCACTCATCCAGGGTTTCCTGGGCCGGGGATAAGCCTCTGCTTGACTGCTGTTCCAGGCCGGCTGGCTTCGGCGGGAAGGGGCTTCGGGGGGCAGAGGGGAGGGCTGTGTCCAGGCGGGAGACGGCAGTGCTGGGCTCTCCTGCTTGGGGCCCCTGACCCTAGAGCCTCCTCTGCTCCGAGGGGCCCGCACTCAGCTGCCTGGTCACTGAGATCAGTGCCAGAAGGCCCCGGGGCTGGGGGGTGAGGCTTTAGTGCCCTTTTCGTTGCAGAAAGGAATTGTTCAGAGGGAAAAGTCCAAGGGGCACCAAAAGGAAAGATTTTCACCCAAGTGTGGGGGTTGCAGAGGGGCTCCCCTGGGGAGGGCTGTGGTGTCCACGGGGGGCCCCAGAGCCGAGCAGAAGGCCTGTGCACCCCCACACCCCACCCCAGCCACCCCTGGCCTCACTGCAAGCTCTCTCCTCTGAGCCTTGGGGGTCCCAGAGGGGGGCTGCCGGCCCTACAGGGAAGCGAGGCCCAGCCCCGCGTCATGGGGCCGGTGCAGGAGGGGTGGTGGCCTGGGGCTCCTCACTGCCATCCACTGTCACCGGCAGCCTGTGAGGAGCTCAGGGCAGGCCCTCTGTCCCCGCTCTAGCAGCGGCCACGGGCTCAGGGCCCTGCCCAGTCCCCCCGCCCGGACTTCCAGTTAAGCTTTCTCAGACGGTCCCAGGCCCGGAGGGGGACCATTCAGGGCAAGCCCTGATGCCTACCGGGGTGAGCTTACGCAGGTGGGTGGCCTGGGTGGGGGTGCAGGTTCAGAGCAGGCCAGCCTTGCCTAGCCTGTTTTGGGGTGCCGTGAAGGAGCCATTAACTCTCCGGAACCGGGACCCATTCCTGTGTTAGAAAAGGCACTAAGCCCGTAAGAGGCATCTGCCTCCCCCTGCGGGGCGTGTGGTGGCTGCCGGGCGGGCCCCTCTGTGCCCCTCGCAGCCCTGGAGGGAGGGGATGCCGGGCAGGGGCAGGTACTCACCATGATACCGGTGAGTAGACAGACGCCCTTCCCACAGTATGTGTGGGGCACCATGTCCCCGTAACCGATGGACAGGAACGTGATGGAGATGAGCCACATGGCGCCCAGGAAGTTACTGGTGACGTCCTGCTGGTCATGGTACCTGCCGAGGGGGAGACAGGGCTTAGTGGAGGGAACCGCCCGCCCTGGGGGTCGAGGCTGTGGGCAAACCCGGACCGGGAAGGACATGGGTCTTTGCTGAGGTGCCGGTGACCGAAGGCGCCCGCCTCTGCCCGCCTGGCCCCCGCCTCCTCCAGCTCGCCCCCAGAGGCGCTCCACGCTGTGGACGCCCTCCGAGCGCTGGTACAACAGCTTTGGGTGAAATCATGCAGGAGTAAAATCTAGATGTTCCCTCCCAGCGACAACCTGAGTGTGTGTGGATGTGATCATCTGAAATCACAGGCCCCTGAACAGGGGAGAATGTCCAAAAAAATCACCAACAAATCTAGCACTTTTCTCTAAGAAGGTTGAGGGATCCCAGAGAAGGGGCCCCTGCTCAGGGCGCAGAGGGAGGCTGTCGCCACGGGGCTCTCGGGGCTGTTCTCAGGGGCGCTGGCATCCTCCTGCGGAGCTAGACGGGGCTCTGGGCTCCCTGTTGGCGGGGGGGGGGGGCGGCGCTGGAACGGTACTGTGCCCATCTGCTCTGCCCGGGGCCCCCCACGCCCCGTCCTTGCCCTGCCTCCTCTCATGCCGGTTCATCCTGAAGCCATCTCGGGTCAGGTCTGGGGACGGCGAGGTTGGGGTGCATGGCAGAGAGGACGTGAGCCTGTGGCCTTGGGCTCCGCCTGCCCATCCTCAAGCCCCAGGTCCCCCTCAAGCGGCTCCAGGCTGTGGGCGGTGACCAACCTGATCTGGGGCTGGGGGGGCTGTAGCACACGGACAACCCGCCCAGCGCCGGCCGCTCAGTCACTGTCGAGGGCAGGTGTTGTCCGTCTGAGAACCATCTACTGAGAAACAGAGGGGGCGGGCGCCAACCAGGGAGTCACGAGCCGTCCATGCAGGTGTCTTCAAGTTCGGCTGCAGAGCTGTTTGATACAGGCATGAAGGAGGCTACTGTAAATTCTTGGACACAGAAGGGACACGGGACCCTGGGTGTCCGAGAAGGACTCGTCCAGCTGCTGCCGCAGGAGAGACGACGGCGGGCGGGCCCGACACGGGCCTGGAAAGTCTGCAGGTGCCCGAGGAGAAGCGACAGAGAGCCGCAGGGGACAGCCGTCGTCACCCACGCGGACGCTGACCACGGGGTCTGGACTTAACCTGTAGCCTGTCTTCTGCCTACGTTCCTGGCCCTGCCGTGCACGTGGGTCCTCACAGTGTCCCCTCCTTGCAAACCCGAGGCTTAACCTGGGGTCGCTGGCTGCTCAGCGGCCCACATGTGAGTGGTCCCAAGAGAAACAAATTGGAGCTCAGAGTGGGTGTCAGCAACAGGTAGTTGTCTTGTCGTCACTTTGATGTCCGATTTACGGTTTTATTTTTCTTCAAATTCCCTTTATGTTCTTGTGGGTTTCTTTGTCTTTTGCACACACAACCCTATTGGTGCTGTGTGTGGGGGATAGAAGCAGGTCTTGGGGACGCCACTCACTCTTCGCCTGTGAGCACTCAAGTCTCAGGCACAGAGACACCCACTGCCCCGCATCATGGGGCCGGAGGCATGTGGCCCACCGGGAGGGAGGCGATGAGCCGCCGCCCGGGCTGGGGATTGAGGGCTGTGGGAGCAGAGAAAAGCTGTTTCCAAACCCGTTCACAATTTTACAGTGGTTTACACCTGTCACAAATCCACGTGTGCATGTCATGCTATTTTTTTCAACAGAGAATTTTTCAGAGAACCATTTTTTTCTTTAAGCGCTAAAGAGGAAAAGGTATTTTTTTTTAAGGATAGTTATTGTAGTTATTAATTTCTCATTAGGGTGTGGACTATTTTTTTCATTTTTTAATATTACGAAACAAATGATAGATACAGGCGACCATGTGACACTTGGTGGCAAATTAAACACACATGGTCCTCAGACCCTTCCGCACGGCAGACAACCGGGCGTCCCCAGAAACCTGAGGAGAGTCTCTAACGTGAAAGACACAGACTGAGTCAGTTAAACAAAGAAACAGGACTCTGGATCCCAGGCAGCCCATTTGCAGGGAAGAGCACATGGGGTAACCCTGTCCTGAATCAACATTGTGAGAAAGACAACACTCTGGCCCCAGGAGATGCGAGGCGATGCTGGACCAGGGGGTCTTTCTGGAAGGACTGGGGGTCAATGGAGGGGTCTCCCAAAGGCAGAGGTGAAAATATGAGAAAATCACTGAACCCATCTACCAATTCAAATATTAACAGTTTCAGAAACCGAACTGGCAAAAGGGAGGAGGAGAGAAGTAATCATTAAAGAAATCATTAAAAATTTTTTTCCAAAACTGAAGGACGTAAGTTTCTAGATTGAGGGCCCTCTGTCCCCAGGCAGTGGGTGAAAAGACTCACACTGAGGCACATTATTGTGAAATTTCAGAACACCAGGGGGGAGGAGAGGTGTTATGGGACTTCCAGAGCCAGTGAGGGAGGGGGAGG